CACCACTTGCCAGGGCCACCGCCTCTGCAGCACCTACAGGTGAGGGCAGCTGCCTGCGCCGGGGACCCGAGAGGGGAGCAGGATCCGTCCCAGCGAGGCAGCGACTCGTGGGGGGCTGTGGAAGGGGGCGAGTCCTGCCTCGATCCGTGGGGAAGGAGCTCCCAGGTCTGACCCACTGGCACGGGAGCGGGATGGGGGTTGGGGCAGATGCTCAGCCCCCCACCTCAGCCCCGTCCTTGCGTTGCAGGACCATCTACAGGGTTGCCTACCGGCAGGCGTACAGGCAGCTGCCCCAGCCCACGGCATCGTGCTGTCCCGGCTGGAGCAGGGCTAACAGCCACGCGCTCGGCTGCAACAGAGGTAAGAGGCTGCTGGGCCACCGTGGTGCCAGCGCTTGCCCTTCCCCCAGACCCCACGGGCCAGGTAGCTCAGGTCCCTGGGTGAGGCCCCCCCCCGGCAGCCAGCTCTCTCCTTTACCAGCACTCTGCCTGTCAGGTGGGTTGCCCCTTTAGCAAAGCATTTAAACTTTCGGCGTCACAAGCAAATGCAGTTCGATTTCTGATTAATTCCCAGCCTTCCTCTGCTGCCTCGCAGGCCTTTTTCCTTTGGGATTGCTGATTAACTTTATAGCTACCAGAGGATAAATAAAATGAGTAAGTAGTTTCCATATAAATCAGCAGTAATGGAAGAGAAATGCTTTCAGGAGGCAATTGTGATGTACAGCACAAAACAAATGCAAACCACATCAGCAGCTAGTCCGGCCCCAGATGAGCTCAGAGCGCAGCACCAGGGGCTTCCCAGCGCCTGCTGCTGCCCATCGCCCTCCTCCCTCCTGGCTGTGCTGGCGCCTCGGCCTCTTTCCAGGCTGCAAAACCAAGGTCCTGTTCATCCCACCCATCCTGTGCACCCTGGTCAGCTCAGCCCCACCGCTCCGGAGCTGGGGCAGAGCATCCTGGCCCCAGGCTGGTGGGTGTGCACTGTGTGTGTACACACAGAGCCATGGTGGCAGGGGAGGGAGTTTGGGACCCCCAGAGCTGCCCGACGACGCTGTGTTCGTGTTTTGTCTCGCAGCTCTTTGCTGGGTGCCGTGCCAGAACGGTGGGAGCTGTACCTTCCCCGGCAGATGCACCTGCCTGCCCGGCTGGATGGGGCGAACCTGCCAGACAGGTACGAGCCGCGCTGCTCCCCTCCGGGCTCCCTGCATCGGGCCTGCCCCACTGCTGCTGCGAAAGCTCCTCCGGGGAGCAGCAGGGCTGCCGTGGGGCTCTGGAGGTCCTCTGCCCACGGACTGACCCCTTGGTGGGAGGCAGGGACCAGCACCAGGCTTTGGCACATGCCACCAGACCACAGAGGGGAACCAGTGACCCCTCTGCCCACACACACGCACACCTCCATGTGTTGCTCCAGGGCAGCGATGCCTGATGCACTGGCCAGGAAAGGACGGCTCCCAGGAGAGCTCTGACCTTCCTTTTGGCTGCCTCAACGCTCCCAACCCTCGTGTGCAGCCCTGGCAGTCCGATTTTCTCTCCGCTGCTGCTCTGTGCTGGGTCAGCGGGAGCAGAGGCTGTGCTCTGCCGTGGCTGTGCAGCCAGCTGAAGGGCAGAGTAGCAGTCACACTCGGGTCAGCCCAAGATTGTGTGCTTGTACTGACCCATCTCTCGGGCTTTGTAAACTCTCGCTGTAAACTGAAACACCCATTTACCGCAGAGACTAAATCTGCAAAGCGAAAATATTTGAGGGTGGAGGGGAAGACTGACGATCTCCAGGCACCGAGCCTCTCTCCAGGCTGAGAGCAGCCCGATGCTCCTCGCCAAAGCACGGGGAATTCAGGCGGCGTGGTGCACACCAGCGTGGTGCAAACCCCTGCCACAGCCTTTCCCGGCTTTCCACCCTCCCATAAGGCAGAGGAGGAGCGAGTGGCGTTGACCCACGCTGGGCCGGGCAGGGCTGAGCACATTGCTGACAGCTCCGGCTCCAGCACAGGGCTGGGGGGGGAAGGATTTTCCCACCGCCTAAAACAGATTCGCCCGGGCGTGGGAAGCGGTTCGGCTCATTTTGCTTTGTGGGAACAGCTTTAATAACTCCCCCGTGTGAGGAGAGGTTACCGGGTTCTGTACACACTTGAAAGGCTGATAGCTCCTCGCCACGGCTGGCTGGAACCAAAACCCCGGCCATAAATCCAGGATGAGAGCCGAGGGCTGCCTGCGCCCGCCTGGCCGGAGCTGGGACATTTCTGACCGCAGCTTTTGTTTCTGGCTCTTTTGTGGAGGGAGTGGGCAGAGGGGAGGAGGCCAGATCCCCCTCGGGGGTTAGCCCAGGTTTGCTCCAGCCGGGTGCAAGTGGAAAGGCTGTGGTCCCGGGCGCTGGCGGGTGTCGTGCTCGCACCCTGCAGCGCTGAGAGCACCCCGAGCTGCGCCCAGCACAAACGCCAGCGCAGTCTGGGGTCCCGTCACATCCCCACCCTGCGTGAGCCCGTGGGGCTCTAGCAAGGGGAGCAGGACCCCTGCTCGCATGGCTGAGCCCTCCGCCACCCCTCGCCCTCCCGGTAAGCAGCTCCTCACCACCCCTGCCCTCGCTCTGGTTTCAGACGTGGATGAATGTGCCGGCCAGAGCCACGGCTGCGGGCAGCTCTGCATCAACACGGCCGGGAGCTACCAGTGTGCCTGCCGGGATGGCTTCACCCTCGCTGCTGATGACAAGGCGTGCCAGCCCCTGGGGCCAGAGCCCGGGCCAGAAACCTTCAGCCAAGCAGGTAACCTGCCCCCTCGTTGCAGGACAGCCCCGGCTGCTCAGGGCCTTCGCTGAAAGCTGGGGTTAACACCCAGCACCACAGGGTGGCGGGAGCAGGAGTGGCAAAGCGACAAGAGAGGGGACGACAGCCAGAACCCCTCAGCTTTATTCTCAGTGACCCAGGAGTCCCTCTACCACCCAAACAACCTCCCCTGTGCGCAAAGCCAGCCGCTGCTCCATCTGCAAGGGTGACAGAGCCTGGCCGTGGCATGCGGTGTCCGGGATGCGGCTGTTCTCTCCATCGACGTCGTCCTTCCCGCAGGACAAGTCCGGAGCCACCAGGAGCGGCGGGCGCCGCTGGCGACGGCCCATTATTACTTTTGGTACGCGCTGTGACACTTCAAACTCGTACCGTGAGTAATAATGCGCTGTGGCCAGCACAGGCATCACGCAGTGAACGCCTGGGAGAGCAGGGCACCGCCTGCACGTGCCCCACAAGCCACCTGCCTTTATCCCCCTGTCCAGGGCCCTCAGCAGGGACGATCCTTCGTGCCCACCATGGGATAGGGCAAACCCGGCTGCTAACTAGTCTGACAACACGGGCACGAAAGGCCAAGCTTTGCCAGATGCCTTGTCCTTTAAGCATCACCCCACTGTCTGAGACATTCCCCGCTTTGTTGCAGGTCCTCCAGCAGCAGTGACAGGCTGCGCTAGCAGCAGGACTAGATGGCAGTGCTTGCAGCAGGTGTTGGATCCAACTGGTGGTCTCGGGGCTGGTCCTGGCGGGGCAGACCCCAGGGGCTCGCTAGGAAGGGAGTGGAAAGCAGCAGAGCTTGGCCTGAGCCCTGCAGCAACGTCTCTCCCCAGCGCCTTCCACTTCATCTTGGGCAGTGGGCTTTTACTCACTGACCACCTCTTGGCCACTTTTTCAGGTCCCCCCGGTGAAATGAAGGAAGAAATGCAAGACCTGAAGAGCAGAGTGGAAGCGCTGGAGCAGGTGAGCTTTCAGCCCGCGCCTCTGCCCTGCCCTCGCTGCCCTCCTGCAGCTCGAGGCCGCGCTCCGCCAGCTCCCACCCGGGGCTGCTCGCAGCCAGGGTTTCCCTCCACCCCGGCTC